CGTTGTTTCCACACACATTCGCGATAATGTTTTGATTTGTCATGTTTATGTTGCTGTGTCATGTGTTAGTTATACTGAATGGACCCGTGTACTGTAGATATATGCACTCAGCAGGCGGTTGGTTTAGTTTTTTTTTTTGGCATCTCCATGTGGTCTTGTTCGGTATCGCAACTTGACTTCTCTAAAATGTTATGCTTGCAGAAAATACAGATTTTTGAGAATCACCCTTCAATCTTTTGGTTTACTTTGCTTGCGCGACACCTGACCCACTCACCGGTCTCGAGTCCTACGCAGGAGCTCTGGAAGGATAAAAGGAGGAGTGACGACAGTGTTGGACGAGAGAGGACCAGGCCTGGACTTTATTTTGTGTTTTGGTTCTGTTTATTTTGTGTTTATTTTATTATTAAAGTTTTGTTTGAATGTTCGCCGGTTCCCGCCTCCTTCTTCCCGAACTACGAACTTTGTTACAATATACATTTATATTAGAGAAAAAAACATAAGTGTGTACTAAACAGGAGTGATAAGATAAAGTCATGAGCGATGAGGACATAGAAGGCATTTTGTTGATTGCTTGGTTTATATTTACATCAAGAAATCTCATTGGTCCAAAATCCTGCTATACGTGTATAGTTATATTATATTTATTTATTTATATATTACTGTTCACAATTTTGAGGTCAAGAAGATGTTTTTAAAGCAAGTATGCATTAAATTGATCAGAAGTGAGAGAAAACCCATTTATAATGTTCTAAAAGTACTAATATTCTAATAATGTTCTAAAATGCTGCTCTTTTGAAATTTCTACTCATCAGAGAATTCTAAATATATATATATATATATATATATCATGGTTTTCACAAAAATATGAAGCAGCACAACTGTTTTTAACACTGATAATAATAAAAAAAAAAATCTTGAGCAGCAAATCAGCATATTAGAATGATTTCTGAAGGATCATGTGACACTGAAGACTTTTCATCACAAAAATAAATTACACTTTAAAATATATTCAAACACAAAATACACAGTTATTTTAAATTGTAAAATTGTTAAATTGTGTTACTGTATCAAATAAATGCAGCCTTGGTGAGCAGAAAAGACTTCTTTCAAAAACATGTTAAAAATCTTACCGACCCCAAACTTTTGAACGGTAGTGTATATGTATCGTATAGTAAGTGACACTTACAGGTTCAATGATTGCAGGCTCTCCTTTTTGCCCTTTCTCTCCTCTCAGTCCATCCACCTTTGGAAACACAAACTCAGTTTAACTCAATCCAGATCAGTGTATATCAGTGTAAGCACAATATGGATTATAACAGGTAATAAATGCAGATAATAAGGTAATTGCAGGTAATAAATAAAACAAACAATTCTGACAACTTGCTATGGTAGTTCAGCCAAAAATTAACTATACTTCACCCTCATGTTGTTCAAAGCCTGTCTGACTTCCGTGAAACACAAAGTGAGGAACTATATTGAAAAGAGTGGGAAGTACATTCTCCTTTTGTGTTAAATGGGAAAAAAGTAAGGCATATAGGTTTGGAACAACATGAAGACGAGTAAATGAATTATTCCTATAAGTTTGCACAGAGGTAGGTGGAGCTGTAGGTCACCTGTCCGTAGATCTCGTCGGTCTCGGCGGGCAGCTCTTTGTCGCCGTCAGGGTACAGGTTGTCATAATCATACATCTTCTCCAGGTCTGCTTCGGTGTAATCCGTGATGGACTCCTCCTTGAAGTTGTCGATATCGATGGAGTCTGTCTCTCCACCGATTCCCCCCTGTCCTCCCGTGGCAACAGACCCCACCCCCACGCTGGCCCCAGCGCTGCTGGATCCGCCCCCAACTGAGCCACTCGAAGAAACAGATCCGCCCCCTACAGAAACAGATCCGCCCCCTACGGACACTGAAGTGCTGGTGCTGCCGCCGCCTCCTTCCACAGTATACTCTCCCTCTCCGTATCCTTCTCCATATCCCTCTCCATAGGTCGGATCAAGACCCTCACCGTACAGGTTATCATCATAACCACCATCAACCTACACATCAGACAAACAGAAGACTTCAGACATCATAACCATTCATAACTCAATGTTTGTGCACTGGATGTACATCTAACTATTGATTTTCAAAATTGAAATCTGTTTGTGTGAATATCACAAAAACAACGAAAAGTAAGCCTACTTTTGGGACAATTAATATTTTTTTACCTGAGACATTATTATTATGACAAAAAGCACATATAGTTTAGTTTTACGATTTTGCCTAGTATTTTCAATGGTGATTCTCATTAGATTCTCAATCCTGTAGTACAATAATTTTACAGTCCTAAAACAGGCTTTATTTTCTTTAAACAAAATTTTAAGACTTTTTTCAATTTACAATATAATTGTTTTTATTAACTAGAATGAAATATAACCTGGACATGTTCCTGACATGCTCTAATGAAAGAGAATGTTGCAGTAATTGCAATAATAAGCAAAACTTGCAAAACATTTGAACTCTTAAAAAAATCGGCGGTGGCTGGCAACTTTTTTTTTAAATGCTGGCGGGGAAAGAGTTAAAGACATTTAAAACACATAGAAAATTCTTGAAATAATCAAATTAAATTAAATTAAATTAAATTCCTGAGTTCAGTAAAATCCACCTCTGTAAAATAGGACATTTATGCATTATTATACTAAACAATGCAGTAATTGCAGTAATAAGAAAAACTTGCAAAACATATGAAAGATATTTAAACCATAGTTAAAATATTTAAAATATATATAATTTTAAAATAAAATAAATTAAATTACATTTATTTAAAAAATTTATTATTAAATGTTACCAATAAAATCTAGATTATATCTGAATTAGACTGGATTTCAGTAAAATCCACTTCAGTAAAATAGGACCTTAATATATTATACTAAACATTTATATATGACTGAATTAATTCTCACTTAAAAGTGAAACTGTTTCGGATCACTAGTTCCAACTAAACTCACTGAGGTAGAGCTGGAGCTGGAGCTGGAGCCGGTACTGACTCCAGAGCTGGAGCCGGAGCTGGAGCTAGTAATGATTCTGGTGCTAGAGCCGGTGCCGGAGCCAGAACTGGAGCCGGAGGTTCCATTGTGAATGACTGTGACTGTTGAGTGTACTCTTCCACTTCCTCCTCCTCCTGATGATGATGATGATGATGTGATGATCCGCCTGTCCAGGTCTCCCAGTCCCATATCCACCTCACCGCCCAGTCCCATATCCACTTCTCCACCGGTACCTGTGCCTGTGCTAGTGATGCTGATGGTCTGGGAGCCATCAGGCCGTGAGGTCGTCTCGTCATAGTATGTTTCGTATCCATCGTAGCCATCATACGGTTCCTCGCCAGTATTCGTGGTAGAGCTGGATGATGAAGAGGATGAAGAGGAGGATGACGAGGAGCTACTCGAAGAACTGCTGGAGCCTCCTGTTCCACTAGTGATAACCGACGTAACCACACGACTGCTATCTGGAACAGACACCTGGTGAACACAGTAAACAGACACTTTTTTAGAATAAACAGTTGAAAATTAATGATTAGATGAATGCACTGATTTCTTGATTCCGTTTCAATTCCAGCTGATCCCATTTAGGAATATTTCTGTTAAAATTGTATTTTTTTAAGATGTAAAAAAAAAAATATCTGCAAACTAATGCTGGGAACTGAACTATCGATGATAATTTTGAGCAATAGTGCCGCTATTAGTGGAGCAATAGTACCTTCCATTTTCGGTATTTAAAAATAAAGCTGACATAAAATTATAGTAATAAGTAGTGAAAGTAGTGAAAATTAGTAAAACTATAACTACCATAATTAATAAATTAATTAAAAACTCTAAACAGAAAAAAAAATTAAATAAAAAATGACAAAAGCACGTAACAAAATGGCTAAAACTTAAACTAAAATTGAAATGAAACCTGAAAACATCAAAATAAAAGCTCATTCAAAATATATACAAAACACTACATCAGTACATAAAAGAATAGTACTAAAATAAGACTGACCGTTAGGTCTTCAGTTTCGGTTCCAGTCGTTTCATCGGCTGTCTTTTCTGCATCCATGTCCTCATAGTATGGATATTCGTAATAGTAGTTATCATCCTCTGTGTTCTGAAGATAAATGTTGAATATTGAGTGTTATTAAATTTTTAAATACTGTATTATCACCAGTGTTCCAGAAAAAAGCTACCTAAAATGTGCTACTAATATGAATATTCTATAGTGTGTTAGAGTACATTTATTCATTTTTAGCTTTCTTAGTTCTTTTGCAAGTGCATATGGATAGTTGCCAATATTCCATGTAGTCTCATGGAATGAGATCATACACACTGCATGCATAATAATTATGTTTGAAAAATTGGATTAAATTACGTTTCAGATGGAAAACAGCACATCCCACCACATACTACCCGAAAAGATACAAAGCTGCACATGGATCCATTTTGGCAATATGAGAAATACAAAAAACGAATGATTTCTGAGCCTGAGGACATGAACATGAGTTGAGTAGAGTCTCTTAAGAGTCTCTCAAGCATAGACATCTTGTAATTATGGTAATTATGACAGGATGTGAATGCATCATATGTTAACATAATTTGTTTTCTTTAACAACCTCAACAAAAAAAGCACAACCATCATTTTATCTTCAAATTTATATTTGAGTGAGAGCAAATATATGTTTCTCTGTGTGTGTGTGTGTGTGCGCGTTTTTGTGACAAATGAGGACATACATTTGTATAATGACAAGGGTATGACATAGGTATTACAAGGAGAAGGTGACTTTTCAGGACATTACCCCATGTCCCCACTTTTCAAAACGCATATAAATCACACAGAATGGAGTGTATTGAAAATCTGAAATAGCACAAAGTTTCCTGTGAGGGGTAGGTTTAGGGGTAGGGTTGGTGTAGGGCAATAGAATATACGGTCTGTACAGTAGAAAAACCATTACGCCTATGGGATGTCCCCACTTTTCACAAAAACAAACCTGTGTGTGTGTGTGTGTGATGTCAAGTATGTATAAATTTATATATAAATAGCTAAATATTTACTGACACTTTGAATGACAAATGATATGTAGGACATTTTATTTGTATTTATTTCATTTTTTATTTTATTCAGTTCATTCAGACAGGATTTCATACTCTCATTCATGAGTTATACTCATGGCATGCTAATTGAGCAATTCAGCGCTCTTGATTTAATAGACTGAAATCCCCTGAGAAGAAAGAGCAAAGGAAAGGAGGGATTCCCTCCGACTGAGTCCAGCGGAAATCCATGTTCAGTCTTATCTAGCGAGAAAGAGAAGAACGTGAAGAATTCCAACTGCTCGCCGACCTCTAGCTCGGATTCACCGTTCTGCCTCTCTCTCCCAAATTCCCACACATTAGCAATGGATAACTCATCAAGTTTTCATCTGTAAAGAGGTTTCGCTGTTATTGAAGTGATGGACTAGGCTTTTGAAGGACTGGTCAAAGGTGCATGCGGTTTTCTTTCATATTGCCCCCTACTAATACCCCACACTCAGATTTACAGCTCCTGACACACACAAAACTGAAAAAGGTGAACGTGAGGTCAGCAGAGGGTCTTTTCCGTGTCAACATGCTGACATCAAAGCCCTGAAAGATGTAAAATTCCATGCATGGCTGAAAATGCACCACATGCTGCAGTCACATGAATATCATTTCGTTTTACAGGCATAGCTCAGAGATAATTTTACCATATGTTGGCCACAACAGTTTTCCGATAGAAAGCTTACTTTTCTGAAGATTACTGACAGCTGTGTTTTAATTTTTGATTCTTTTTCTTTTTTTCTTGTTCATTTATGTTTCTGAATATTAAATGGTCGAGCATGACGTTAGCAACGGCAAGGACATGGGTTCGATTCTCAGGGTACATGCATATATGGAGGATTAGAGTTGGAAAAACTTTATTTCCAAACACAGTCAAATACACATTTAATTGAATTCAATTGACATTTAACATTTGTTAAAACTTAACATTTGTCAAGCCAACCTGAATATACTGGAATTAAATAGAGCAATATATAACTGTGTGATTTAAGGCAAGACGCTACAGGTGAACAGGGTCAAATATTTAACAGACTTCACCATTCTTCTCCAGTTGATTGATTACATTAAGAATAGCAAATGTTTTTTGTATTACATGTTTTCTGAAACGTCATATTTAAATATGCACACGAGGCGTTATCTAATTAAATATGAAATTAAATGTATTCACTAATTGGCATAAATCAGGTTCAAAATTCTTGTTTCGTTTTGTTGACATATTAGAGTTAAAGGTTTTTACAGAAGGAATTTTAGATATCTATTTTTATTACTCCATAAATCAGAAAATACTGTCAACAGCCAGAAAAAAAAACATGTTTTCAAGAATAAAATGTTGTATAAACCAGGCGAATGATATATGAACAAACCCTTCATTAAAAACTTTCAGAATAGAGATAGGAATAAAACTGTAAATTTTGGTACATGCAAATGCTGCTGAAGTGGAGAAAAAACTCAACAGCCTTTAAAGATATGCATTTTTACCATGTTTTTTAAGAATAAAATGTTGCATAAATCCAGGCAAATGATATATGAAGAAAGCCCTCAGTAAAAACCTTCAGAATATGGTTAGTAATAAAACTGTAAATTTTGGTGCATGCAAGTGCTGCTGAAGTGGAGAAAAAACTCAACTCGCATTTTTACCATGTTTTTAAGAATAAAACCAGTCAAATGATATATTATGAACAAACATTTTAGTAAAAACCTTCAGAATATAGAAATTAATAAAACTGTACAGTTTGGTGTATGTGCTGCTGAAGTGGAAAAAAATTTTTTTTGAGAACTTTTAAATTGTGAGAAAACGACCTTTAAAGACAAATTGAAATTGAGATCTAAAAGACGCAAATAGATAAAGTGCAATAAAATAAAAAAAATATTTTGAATGTTTTCTTTCTGAAACAACACATGCCTGAAAAACAATGTTTTTGCCTGTAATGTCTTGCGGTAAACATTGAATCCACCAGAAACTCCAGCACTATTTGTCACATAAATGTGAAGTGTGATTTATTTCCTGTCGTTTGCATTAAATTCAACATTTCTCCACTTTGAAAAAAATTTTTTTTGAGAACTTTTAAATTGTGAGAAAACGACCTTTAAAGACAAATTGAAATTGAGATCTAAAAGACGCAAATAGATAAAGCGCAATAAAATAAAAAAAGTATTTTGAATGTTTTCTTTCTGAAACAACACATGCCTGAAAAACAATGTTTTTGCCTGTAATGTCTTGCGGTAAACATTGAATCCACCAGAAACTCCAGCACTATTTGTCACATAAATGTGAAGTGTGATTTCTCGCCTGTCGTTTGCATTAAATTCAACATTTCTCCACTTTTGACATTCTCACCATTCGTTTTGCCCCGTGGTCAATCCCACAATTCCCTCAAGCCCACCGTTTGCTCAGCTCCCATAGAGAATCAATTGCAAACATTTGGCCATCTCAAACATTATTCAGCTTAAACTATTTTCTCATCTGTTTCACATGCTAAATCTCTCAGCCTTTCATTTAATGCCTTCTCTTCCTCTCTCTGTAGTGCTCAGAGGATATTGGCATCTGAGTGAACCCAGATGGACGGAGACTGAATATGAACACTCAACTGACCCCATGAAATAAAAATGGGACTTTTGTGGTTTTTAGTCCATGTCTGCTCATCTATATTTTGGTATACTCATAAATGTTGACATAATACTCATTTTACACATTTAAAATGCATGGTATTTCTACCAAAAATATTTGAATATGAATTTAGAATTTTATTTAGTGACAAAATAATGACTTTATTTATGATTTTTTTTTTTGCATTATTACTATATATGCAGGATTAGAACTGGAAAAAGTTTATTTTCCAAATGCAGTCAACTGAATACATATTTGTTAACCCAGGCTGAATTAAAGGAGTCATATGATGCGATTTCAATTTTTCCTTTCTCTTTGGGTGATGCTGTGTTTCGTTGTGAAAGTGAAACTACTATGTTTGGCCTTTCAAAAATGGACACGACTAGAAATCAGTGGTTAAGTTGTATTTACAACACTGTTCCAAAACACTTCAACCCAAATATTCAGATGTGTGCAGCACATTTTATGGAGGACTGTTTC